GCGGGACAAAGGATCGGCAACAACGTTGTCCTTTCCAGAAATGTGCCTAATGTCGGTTGTAAACTGCGAGATGTAATCGAGGTGGCGAAATCACGTAATTCCGCGTTTCGTCTGATGAGTGTGGTGCCGGAGGCCTAATTTTAGTCTCTTACCCTTTCCACCCTTTTTTTAAGAGGAAAGGATGGGAAGGAAAAGTGGATATAACGGTGGAGGAGACGGATAGAAAGGGGAAATCCTCTTTATGTGCGTCTCCTCCTCCGTCAATTAAGGATAGGCAACCCATCTGCAATTTCGGATGTTTGTGCAGCGGTCGCTTTACATTTCGGTGGATTCAGGCCGCTCGCTCGTTAGCCATCTTATATTATAAAAGAAGGTAGGCTCCGAGCCCCGTGGAGAGCTCAGTGGGGACAGGAACTCAATACCTAATAGCTTATTTCTAAAAACAAAAGTGTTATCCCGCGGTCGTGACTGTTTGTGGTTTTTAGGCGGCTGTAGGCTGGGAGTTCGGAGGCAGTACTTCATTCAGTTGTGGAGGCAGCCTCATCAGTAGGAAGTTTGTGATGACAGCGGGACATTGCATCAAACGACCCAGGTTCGGGGAACCGACAATCGTAAGACTTGGGGAACAGAATTTAGATCCTAAAGTCAAAGATGGCGCTAATCCTGTTGACGTAAGTTATTTTATACAAATACTAGCTGTTCCCGTGCGACTTCGTCCGCATGAAATTATGAAAATTTTATTTTATTGTTTACATTTATCAAATTTTCAATTGCAAAAAAATACCAATTACCTTACTATGGCTCTTGTTGTTGTCTCTTTCCCACATTAGGGTTTTTATCAAAATATTTACCCCCTAAGTTTTTTCAAAAATATGCTGTAATTGCTGACATCTTAGGCAACAAACTGTGTGTTTACGTTTTATTATGATAGATTATACAATATGTATGTATAGACAAGGACACAATACTAAAGTTGACAATTGATATAGTACCTATGAAACAATGCTCTATGCTTCATCTATATTATTTAAATGTCTTTATCATCACCAGCTCACTATAAATCCCCACCGAGGGGCTCGGTGGGGACCCTAAGTTAGGGTGACTAGGCCATAGTCAACCACGCTGGCCCAGTGCGGGTTGGTTGACTTCACACATATCTTTGAATTTCTTCTCCGATATGTGCAGGCATCACGATGTTTTCCTTCACCGTAAGAACGTCGGGTAAATTATATACATATGAAAATTCGAAAAATCGAAAATCACATTGGTACAGCGGGATTCGAACCCAAGACCTGTAGATTACAAGTCAAGTGCTTAAACCACTGAGCCACCGACGCTCTGTCAAATGTCTTTATGTGTACTATAAATTAATAAATAAAACCAGGTTCGTATAAAACAAATACACAAACATCCCGACTACAAACCACCTCAAAGATATAACGACATCGCGCTGCTAGAATTAGAAGAAGCTGTTAAATTCAACAACAATGTGCGGCCAGCCTGTCTCTGGCCTAAACCTGACTTTGGCTCATACCAGAAAGGGATAGCAACAGGTTGGGGAGTTATTGATCCAGGTAAAGTATCCACTTACAATATTATTCTATTCCTGTAGGGTCTTCGCATTAGTCATCTTAGTCACTCCCTTCTTGATATCACCTTTCACACAATACACCTCTTTCTATGTCCACTTCCCCGGTGTACTCTTAACTAATGTTCTTCTTGTAACAGGCGATTCATCCCTCATAACATGCCCCCATGCTAACCTTTTACTCCTTACCTTCTCTACCACTGGGGCTACTCTTAAACTTCATTAACATTCTCATTTCTGCCACATGTATTCTTTCATCCATCCCCTTTACTGATCAATTCAGATCCATACATCATGTCAGGTCTTACGATTATCTTGTAAATTATCCCCTTTCTTATGATTAACGGATCATGCCTTGCTCTTGTCACTACTGAGGGTAGGTGTGTGCTTCCATACTTCTCTATCAGCCATATCTGAAATCACTCCCTTATCCTCTCTCATACAATCCATACTTTCTTCTGTCTTTGAAGTCATCCACATTCATTAACACTTTCTATAGTTTATTTTATCCTCTCGTCTTTAACACTACGCCGTTTTATTGGTTAACAAGGCCAGTACAGTTGGAAAGTTGCCCCGTGCGATTCTTCGCAAATGCAGAGGCGTTGCCTACCCTTAATCCACAGATACGCACATAAAGAGGATATTATCCTTTCCTATGCGTCTCCTCCGTCAAATCCATTTTTCCTTCCCATCCCTTACTCTTTAGAAACGGGTGGAAATGATGAGACTAAAATTATACCTCCGGTATACTCAGAGTGTATGCGAAATTGCTTCCACTTCACGCCTGTCTTCTGTGTGGTCGCGTATTGATGGGAGCCCTACATTGCGAAGATGCTGATGCAGGTTCTACCGTCACTGATGCAAGTTTATTTGCAATTTAAATGTGAAACCAGTCACTAAATCTCAACCAGATGTGAATAATCCTTTCTTCCAGACACACAACAGACATCGAACGAGTTACAGAAAGTGTCCCTTTCTCTGTTAACTAATAGATATTGCAAACCGCTGTTAAAACCGAATCGTTACTGGGATGGGTTTGTAGACTCGCAAATGTGCGCCGGAGAAATGAGAGGAGGGAAGGATACTTGTCAGGTAAAAGTTTATTAAAACATCTATAATCATACTAATAATTCGATAATCTAAACAAATGAATGTTTGTCGGACATACAATAATAGGATTATCCCGTCACCCCGCTCTGTCCCCACGTGGGAACAGATGAGAATAAAAAGATTCATCCGTCCCACCTTTTGATGGATGGTTGGGACTTATTTTTATTTCATAACGGTTTCTATCATCTTATTGGTGATAATGGGACTAAAAAGTGGGACAGACGAAACTTTTCATTCTCATCTGTTCCCACGTGGGGACAGATGAGAATAAAAAGTTTCATCCGTCCCGCCTATTGGCACGGGGACGGTTGGAACTTATTTCATAACGGTTCCTGTCACCTTTTGGTGATAGTGCGACTAAAAGGTGGGACGGATGATTTTTTCATCATCTGTTCCTACATGGGGCTGTGCGGTGTGACGGTTGGGAATGATCCCAATAATTAAGTTTGATTTTTAATTTCTCGCAAACTGAGTCGCGAACAATAGATAGACTATATCTATACAAATATTATGAAAGAGGAAAGATTTGTGTTTTTGTATGTATTGGAATGACACAAAACTGGGACGATTTCAAAAATTTTCTCATCATTAAAAAGCTACGTTACCAGTGAGCAACATAGGCTATATTTTTTATTTTCACGCAAATAGTTTTCGGCCCAGTAGTTTTTGAGTTATTTCAATATAAATATATAAAAATACATAATTTTTAGTTACGACCTTGTCGCGACCTTTGACCTCTACTGGTAGAGAGTCAAAATGGCGGGTTTACGATTGTGAATTAAATTTAACAAAAAAAACGTTCCTAAAATGTACTATTTTGTACCTTGCTCAAATAAAAAGTACCTTCTCTAGAACGAAATTAAGTTTAAGGTGTACAATATGTAGATACTTTTTTTTGGTACTAAACAGTACATTTAAGGTACATTTTTTAGTAAGTAGTATAATGCAATGGTACACCCGCCATTTTAACTCACCTCTACTGGCATTACCTTTATTTTAAAATCTTTTTCAGGGTGATTCTGGTTCTCCCTTACAAGTGGTATCCAGCGACAATCAGTGCATTTACTATGTGGTTGGTGTGACGTCATTTGGAGGTAAATGCGCTAAAAGTGGACAACCAGCTGTTTACACTCGTGTTTCAAGTTATTTAGATTGGATAGAGAGTATCGTGTGGCCTGGAGAGTGATTTTTTTTGTTAATAAATAACTTGTTTTGAATTGTTGTTTTATTTTTACCCGACTGACATAGAAACAGTGGTAGAGCCCGCTTTGACATCTTCGCACGAATTGGACGGCTCGCCCGGTGCAATACCACGACCACACCGAAAACAGGCTTGAAGTGGAAGTAATTCCGCGTTTTGTCTGATGAGTGTGATGCCGGAGGCCTAATTTTAGTCCCTTTCCCTTTCCACCCTTTTCTTAAGAGGAAAGGATGGGAAGGAAATGTTTATTTGACGATAAAGGAGATGCATAGGAACGAGGACGGTTGGAACTTATTTTATTTCATAACGGTTCCATCTGCCACCTTATTGCTGATAGTGGTACTAAAAGGTGGGACGGGTGAAACTTTTTGTTCTCACGTGGGGACAGGGCGGGGTAACTGTTGGGAATAATCCCTCTTTATATAGTTAGTATAGATTTGATTTATTTAAAACGTTTAAAGGGGCAGAGATTTCTATATTCTTTCAGTTTCTGCGGTAACAGAAGTAACACACCAAGAGATAAAACTATCATTATTGCGGTACCAAGCTAAAAACCCTGTATAGATGTAGAAACTAAAATCTTATTACTGGCTTCTTATACAATTATTTCGTTTTTTGCCTTGAATATCATAAATAATGATTAAAAAGAAGCTGAAAGCGTAAGTAAACAGCCTGTTTAGTTTTGATTATGAAGCAATAATGAATTACAAGGTTTTATGTACCCGTTGCCGCACTGAATAAAATATTTCGAGCATAATGTAGGGATGTGAAATAACAATATCGATAGTTTTAATTAAATTTTATTGTAGACGAGACATTTACAATTTAATGTTTCTCATTAAAACCAAACAAAAGATTATCTTACACAGAACACATTTTTTTATCTTTGAACTAACCTTCTCCTTGTAACATACCCCATGCTAACCTTTTACTCCTTACCTTCTGGCCACTGGGGCTATTCTCACTTCCTCTAATATACTCATTTCGTATCTTATCCATTCGTGTTACCCAGGTGATTTAGACCTCGTATAGCAACGTTAAAAAAACCCACATTTATATAACTACATTAAAATTAAAAGAATCTTAGATTTAATAAATCAACTGTATTTTAGTTTTCTTTTTATTTACTGACACGTCTGAAATTATTTAACATGTCAGCCACTTAGTTTGTCTAAATAAGTTTAAATATTTATCGAACTCAACTAAAATTATTATTTTCTTATTAACTAATTTAGAGGACAATTCTAGTATTGATTATAGTGTAGAGAATTTAACGCTGACGGAAATAATAGCAAAATCAAATTCAATTACGTACAGCTGTAGTAATAAACATTAATTTACTCTCATTATTTGTTGTGGTCATTATTAATTTGAGAAAACAGTGTTTTTTTAATTCACAAGTTATAACTTTGAATCTATCGATTCCAACTTCTATAAGAATAAAAATCGAAAATCGATAAGATTCCTGACTGATTCTACACAACCCATCCCTACTAAATTTGAAATGAATTGTCAAACTAATCTAATTTATTTAGACACACTATAGTGGAAACACTCTTATAAATTAAGATTCAAAAACCGTCTATACCCAATAGCGGTTCTATTTTTCTTAATAACCGTTTTTACCAATTCTATTAATTGATTTATTTCTATACCTTTGTTAGCGATATGTTCGTATGCGTTAATATGTTCAATTGGTCTCCAATCGTCGAATAATCTTCCCAACATACCTCCAATATCAACCATAGTTGTGTATTTATCAGTCGTGTCAGCTACAATGAAACCTATTTCGAAAGATGTATTATTTTCATATGTTTTTCTTATCATATCAGCGCGTTTTATTTTAGACTCACTATCGCTGATCGATTCGTGCATCATTCGAAATAGTTTCAGTTTGATTTCGTTTTCGGCGTACGAAGCGGGCGCGGAACGACCGAGGCCGTCCTCCATTTTGCTTCGCAAATATTCGAGACCAACGCGTCGTTTGTGCGCGTCTGTTGGTAGATCTTTTAATACTGTCATCTTTAAACCAAACGAGAGATCGTTCATGATACTCTGTTGTACAGCGGATAGCTGATATTGATTTGCAAATCGTAAAATGCCTAAAAAATTATAATTTCTTTAATTTTCATTAAAGATTACATGTCAATAGTATAGTAGTTCAATTGAACTAATTTGGATACGTCAGAAAGCATTGTAATCGTGTGAACGAATATTTGTACATAATAAACGTATGCAGCGCCTCTACCGGACATTAGCTACACTAACAAATCAAATAATTTGTTAACAAAAACGCTCTCGGAAATACTCGTGCGTACACAAACAAAAATATACTTACATGATAGTAGGAACAATACGACATACTTCATTGTTGTTTAAAAGAACTTAATTATAAAAACCCTTTCGTTTAAACTGTAATAAAATTCGTACGCTATGGACGTTAATTATTTATTAATTGCTCGTGTAATTTAATGTTTGATAATTAAAAAAGTACCTACTATGCGAGCACACCTTTAAACTATCGCACAAGGGCAGATCTAGCTGTGGCGCCAGGGGTGGGGGGTCACATAGTCATGGTCAAGTCAAGAGCTTGACAAAATAAATTAACATATTACACCAGCTCAGGGGGGGTCATGACCCATGAACCTCCCCCCTGGATCCGCCGTTGCTATCGCACAATTTATTAGTCATGCTTTGATTCCTATGAGATTATACGATTCGTAGTCGCACAATAATCTTTTAGCAACAAAACAGTTGAGTTGAACCTGCCAAACAATCGACAATCGCACACGTTATATGATAATTTAGTTTGAGGTGCCCGACCCAGACTTTATTTCCGAACATGTAGATATTTTGACTTGTTTAATTCAAAATTCCCTTATTCCCTTACAGCCTTCCAAAAATGAGTCTATATTTAGATATAGACAGATGATGACAAAAATTATTTAGTTCATTTTAAGTCCAACTATATTGAAAGAGAATCTCTACATCGCGTAGCAGAATTAATGAAATTATTTTAACGCCATCTGTTGTCGAGTAGGGAGTATAATTTCGATAAAGGTTTTCTATCTTCGATTTATAAATTTAAAAACTGATTAGGAATACGTTAAAAATTTTTTTTCTTAAAAATACTTACAGAGTGACTAAATTAGTTACATTTTACAATTTAATAAATCTTACCACAAAAGATAATAGATGACGCTTTTTTCAAGAATTAGCGAAATGTTAATTCTTGACTAACTATAAAATATCTTGTGCTAAGAATAGCGTGGTTTTACGTACTAACGATTTCCGGCCATTCGGAGATCGAAGAATACCAGGAAAAATTATAGACAGGACATTTGTACTATGACAGCATACTTCTTATGCAGACCCTTACTTCCTGCGTTGGCGCAGCGACCCAAAGTAGGTCTTGTCCTCCGACACGAGAGAGCGCCAGCGTCGTCTGTCCTGCGTCCTCGACTGCCAGCCGATCGACTCTAGGTCGCATTTCTGGTCAAAAGGTCATGGTAAAATTGCTTTCAACTTTTTTTTGCAAGACGAATAGTGCCTAGCACGAAAATTGATGAGTGCATCGTGCAGCGCCTCTATTGGGCCTAAGTACATATCTCAAAAAAACTATCGATGACGTTACTAAAAATTTCTTATAAACTTTCGTGTTAGTCTCAAATAACAGTGGTAGAGCCCGCTTTAACATCTTAGCACTGCAGGGCCGGCACGCGCCCAGTAATACCACGACCACACGAAAGACAAGCGTGAAATGGAAGCAATTCCGTGTTTCGTATGATGAGTGTGGTGGCAGAGGCCTAATTTAAGTCCCTTTCTCTTTACCACCCTTTTCTCATAAGGAGAGGATGGGAAGGGGAAGTGGAATTGACGGTGGAGGAGATGCATAGGAAGGGAAAATATCCTCTTTATGTGCGTCTCCTCTCCTCCGTCGGATAAGGGTAGGCGACGCATCTGCAATTGCGGATGTCTATGGGCAGCGGTCGCTTCGCCATTTTGGCGGATTGAAATGGCCGCTTGCTCGTTTGCCACCTTATTATATATATAAAAAAAACCTCATTTTAAAACACACGGGTGTTTCGTAAGTGGAAACTCAATATGTGTAACTATTTTTCTATCTATTTCCCGCCTTTTATCTTAACGATTTTCAATATTTCTAAAAAATTGGCTAATTCTAAAAATTCGAAATACAAACATAACCTATGTAAACATTTGTTTAAAAAATGACAGCTCCTTTCAAATACAAATAGTGCGGTTAGGGTTGTCAGACTCATTCTATTATAGTGTGTCTAAATAATTTAGATTAGTTTGACATTTAATTTCAAATTTAGTAGGGATGGGTTGTGTAAAATCAGTCATGAATCTTATCGATTTTCGATATTTATTTTTATAGAAGTTGGAATCATCAGATTTAGAGTTATAACTTATGAATTAAAAAAAAAAACACTGTTTTCTCAAATTAATAATGACCATAACAATTAATGAGAGTAAATAACAACAGTTTATTTACTACTAGCTGTTGCTCGCGTCTTCGCCCGCGTGAAATAAATATAGCCTATGTTATTCACAGATAAATCTTTCTAAGGGTGAAAGAATTTTTAAAATCGGCCCCGTAGTTATTTTTGAGTTATTCCAATACATACAAAAGTAAACAAATATTACCTCTTTATATAGTACTAACTTTTGCCCGCAACATCGACCGCGTGAAATTTTAAATTTCAATTCAGTTTGTAAACAAAAAAGTGGTTATTGTAAAAAACCATTAACCAGATATATGCTATCTGACTTTTCTGTAGAACTTTTTGAGATCTACAATTCTTTCCTACATCATTTTTATATACCTCTAAAGGTTTAGCGTAAGCCGAGAAAAGTTAAAGTTTAGTGAATTTTTAACGCCGGCGTCCAGAAACACGCTGTTTATTAATAGTTCCTAAATATTACTAATAATAAAATATAGTCTATGTTACCTTTCTGATGGTGAAAGAATTCTTAAAATCGGCCTAGTAATTTCTATACAAATCTTTCCTTTTTATAATATAGATTAAAATAAACAGTTACAATTCCCAATGAGACAACTCTATTCACACACACACACACAAAACGTATTAACACTTTAAAATATTCAACATGGAATCTTAAATTCATTTATAAATCGCAAAGATATCGAGTTTTCCATACACTGGTAGCTTAAACTTGTTATCTTTTATTATCAAATGCTAATAATATTTTGTCCGCCATAAACTGCGCGTCATTGCTCAGTTGGCTTGTGTTCTTCGTGCGTGTAATACAACTGCTTCGTTATAACCCGTCCGATTTACAAACGTTATCATTTCCTAACCTGTGACGTTATTTTGCCGCCTTTTCAATCTGACAGCGTGTTTGTTTACATTTTTTATATTCTGTAACGCAATAACTTTTATCTTTGGTGAATTTGGTTTGTGTTCGAAGTTTTTATTGATTGGATTTTTTTTAAAAGTAAGTATTATGTAATTATAATATTTTAGATATATTTTCCTGTTTAAAAAGTGAAAGTCTCTTGCAAAATAATATTAGGTAATACTTCCGTCTTTTTGACCGACTTCCCAAATAAAAGGAGGTACTCAATTCGTCTGTAAAAAAATAAATAAAAAAACCATTTTTTTTATATGCGTTACGGCATAACTCCGCCGCTAGTGGACTGATTTTGATAATTATTTTTTATCCGAAAGGTAATGCTTACAGGTGGGTCCCATTTTGTTTGATTTTTGGAGTCAAAGACTACGACGTAGTTAAATAGGTTAGCTCAAAATCGCGTGACTAAATTTGGCGTCATTTTTGCTTTCTTTTCTTATTTATTATTTTTTTATATGTGTTACGGTATAGTTTACTAGCATTTCATTTATAACTTGGCCGAATGGTCTTACTTTCTCAAACTGATCTATTTAAAAACATTATTTAAAATTGAATGATTTCCTTTATTTTTATCTTAATAGATAGAAATCTTTTTTTAATTAATCACAACTGATAAAGACATATATAAATTTATCTGTGTATAATTATTAAAACTTTAAACAATATTAAAATCTAATTTGTTTTATTATTTTTGTGATTAAACAAAGTAGAGGAATATTTTACTATTTGAATTTTAAATTTCGCAAATCGTAATACTTCGAACTAAAAAAGGCAATTGTAAACGATTCATGGAATAAGTGTTGCCATTTGTTGAAATTTTCAATTGACATCCAATTGGATAGAAGTAAGGCGTGACAAGTACAGTCAGCTACATAAGTTTTCTATACTAATATTATAAACCTAGTAGAACCTCGATAAGTTAAAGTCCAAGGGAAACACAAAATATTTTAAGTTATCAAGGGTCTATGTTATAGAGGTTTTGGGCTCTGATGGGAAGGGAACATATTATTTTTTGAAGTTATAGAGGTTTTAAGTTATCAAGGGTCTATGTTATAGAGGTTTTGGGCTCTGATGGGAAGGGAACATATTATTTTTTTGATGTTATAGAGGTTTTTAAGTTACCGAGGTTTGAGTTATCGAGGGTCTACTGTATTTGAGTCACGCAAAAACTACTAGGCCGATTTTAAAAATTCTTTCACCATCAGAAAGGTAATTTATCTGTGAGTAACATAGGCTATATTTTATTATTAGTGATGCTTAGGAACTATTAATAAACAGCGTGTGTCTGGAAGCCGGCGTTAAAAATTCACTAAATTTTAACTTTTGTCGGCTTACGCTGCCTAAACTGTTAGAGGTATATAAAAATGATGTATGAAAGAATTGTAGATGTCATCATTTATAAAAAAAAAACTTCTATAAGGCTTCGGTTTTAAAAATATTATCACGTAATCAATAATATTCAAAGTCAAAAGCATACTGAAAAGTCCATACATATTTTTGAAACCGATATGTACTCGTATATACAAGATATCTATGGAGTTAACTGTACATTTGGTACAAAAATGTGTCCTAAATTCTTTTTTGTACCAACATTGAAATCTTTTTAGAATGTGATAATTGGTCTTGATATACGTAGTTTGCTTGTATATGGTATATTATTTAAGGCTTTCTCTTGAATCACTCTTAAAACTGCACCAACAAGCAAATCCGTTGCGTAGTTTTAAAGACGTATACAGACAGCGGGAAGTGACTTTTTATGTAGTGAAGGGATCTTGTATATAATACAGAGAGTACTATAATACAAAACAATAAGGTAAAAGGAAATAACACATTACGTTTGCATACTAAAAAGCCCCATTTAACTGGGCAACATAGGCTATATTAATTACAATTTTTATTTCCGCGCGGACAAAGTCACGAGCAACAACTAGTTATTATTAAAATTATAATCACTGCATTTTTTTTCAATTTGTTGTTAAAATCATCACTGAAAGTGTAAAAAATTTTTTTTTTGTCAAAAATGTTTTGCTGACTGTACTTTGATGGCCTTCTCTATATTAAGCACTTTGCAATCATGAAGAAATATATCAACAACTACCTATATGACGTAACGTAACATTTATAAATGAGGCGTGTATAGGCAAAGAATTTAATTTCCTCCCCACTTATCTTATATAATAAGCAAACTATCACAACGCGGGGGACATTTGTGAGGGTTGGAACTCTAGAAGGACTGTAAGGAGCATAGAATTGAGGGGATCTGTTGATTTTTGTTAATCTATGTCTATACTATTATAATAAAGCGTAAACACACACTTCTATGTTGCCTAAGATGTCAGCAATTACACCATATTTTTTAATAATTCTTTTTTTAATAAAAAGCCCTATACTTACGTCACGCTTTAGGCTATAGTTTTTCACGCCATTAAAGTTAGGGGGTAAATATTTTGGATAAAAACCCTAATGTGGGAAAGAGACCATAAGTTGCTGCCAACAACAACGAAGCAAGATTGCCAAGGTTTATCATGTCATGTCATTTTGACATTTGCAATTGATAATTTGACACATGTAAACAATAAAATAACATTTTCATAATTTTATGCGGATGAAGTCGCACGGGAACAGCTAGTTTATCTATACAAATATTAAAAAGAAGGAAAGGTTTGTATTTTTTATAACATAAGATGGCAAACGAGCTAGAGGCTACCGGAATCCTCCAAAATGGCGAAGCGACCACTGCCCATAGACATCCGCAAGTAGACGCGTTGCCTACCCTAAATCAACGAAGGAGGAGACGCACATAAAATGGATATTTCTTCTTCCTCTGCGTCTACTCCACCGTCAAATCCACGATGCCTTCCCATCCATGTTATCACAAGTAACATAGGCTATATTTTTACTATTTTTCACGTGGACGAAGTCACGAGCAAAGCTATTCTGTATAGTTATTCTTAATATTGCAAAGTTGCGTTATTATTGTTTTCTAGGATAAAAAAATGTTTATAATATTCTAGCTTTCGCCCGCGACTCCGTCCGCGTTTTATTAAAAAAAAACAAAAGTGAATAGTCTATGTGTTCTTCCAGACCATCCTC